CTATCAATTTTTTAATTTTTTTCTTCTTTTCAGGGGGGTAGGGTGACATATAATTGCGATATGCTCTAGCAATGCAGACACAGTAACTATCAAAATTGGAGGACGCTGGGAGACTGGTAGAAAAGCAGGATAAGCTTTCTGGTTGCTTTAAAAGAAAGGAAGGAAAATAGAGTAGACATTCTGAGAGAGGGTGAGGAGGTGGAGAACCAGTAGACACTGTCAAGGATCTGTGCCTCGGGGATATGGAGGCAGGAAACTGCACCAGAAACTTAGAGCCTCTACAAAAATGACAAGAGCAGCTTGGGACTGGTAAGTCACATTCCCAGACATGAGCCCCATTCCCAAACACTTGAACAACTTGGGAAAAGCACTCTCGGAGAAGCAAGGGACTTGCTCACAGTAAGAAGCCACACACCGGATGTGAGCTGTTTGCAGAGCCAAAGCCAGGGATGGGTAAGGGGCTGTACGGAGGGGCCACAGGGCAGGCTCCCACACATGCTGGTCTTTTGAGGAAGGAGACAAAACATTTATTACGCAGAAGCTAGACTATCAGTTTTGCAGCACAAGAGGTGTGAACAGGTACACTGAAAAGTCGTATAACAGAGTGAGTAGAAATAAGATCTAATTTCAATTCTAGTTTCACCAGCAACAGTGCCTTACTTTCTGGGAGCTTCAGTTATCTCATCGCAACAATGTCCTCACTAATATAGCTTACGATATTAGTGTAAGGATTGGCATGGTGAGATATAAGATGTCTAGTTCTCCCCTTCTTGGGTTCTTTCTCCCCTTCCCCACACCCATTGTTTACAGACATCAAGATAAACTCTCTAATCACCTTTGCAGATGAAGTACAACTTCCCGACACATTAGAAGACTACCTCTTCTGTCCACAGAGCCTGAAACAGCTAGCTCTCACTCTCCAAAACTTAGGTTTCTTAAATTCAGCTACATGTATTAAACAATACTTTCTATTCAGGATAAATATTAACGATGTTTTTAATAGCTTTTTATAGTTCCTGCCCTACTGTTTTGTTATAGACCATTAAGCAGTTGTTACATTCCATTAGAGGTTGAAGTTGTCTTTGTTTTGCTTTTATTGTGCCATATTGGTTTGTAAACCATGTGGGGAAACTCCCAGATGAAAGGTCCTTCATCAATCCAAGACATTAGTATTCTATCTTTTTAGAATAAAAGTCTACTTTGTAGGCATATGGAATTGAATCTAATTAACAGCATCTGCATCATTTAGTTCTAGCAAAAGCAAGACTGTCATCCTGTCATATTAATTTTATTTCTGTCATCTTCATGTTTAATGGCTGGGTCTAAAAGCTAGGATGCCTGGCCATGCAGGAGAACATCAAGGAAGGCATTGTGAACAGTATCATCATTCAACACACTCGTTGGCTATTTGAGGGGCTCCCACACTAAGCTCTGGTGTTTATACAGCCACAGGGACCCAACATCAGTTATCCACAATGTGCTACAGCCCCAGAAGACAAGAAAATCACACGCAGTGGACAATACACAAAACACGATGGTTAAGAGCAATCAGACAGTGTGACTCCTTCCTGGCCAAAAAGGGTAGGAGAACCACAAACCTACCAGAGAACAAATAACGATTATACTCCTAGCTTGAAAGATACAACCCTGTGCCAACAAAAACTTATCCTTAGAGGATCTGAACATCTCTCCCCAAAGCCATTAAAGTCCACGACCCCATACGTGCCACTCTCCCGCTTAAAACCCTGCCCACTGACCTTAAGGTTAAAATTAAAATCCTAAGTAGGACTTATACCAAGGATTTCAAACTGAAGCCTGGTATTAGATGATAAATGAGAACTGACTCTAGGCACATGTGTCAGGAAGGAGTAGGAAGTAGCAGGGACTGTGGTGAGCAGCAGGGCACAAGGCCCACACCCTAGGAGTAGCCTCCCCCCTTAGTTATACGTGATTTGTTGTTGGGAAGGTAGTTTTACCAGACCTCAGACTGGTCAAGAGAAGCCAGAAAATTGGAGTTCAAATTCTGATTTTTAAATAATTTAAACTTAAATATAAGTCAACATTCTGCAGAACCAAAAAAAAGTAAATCTGAACAGAAGACTACCATTTTGTAACTTTGCTGTACACACACATACACACACACAAACACACACACACACACTCTTTACTACAGCTACATTTATTAACATATTCCATATAACCATCTATACAAATAACTATATACATGTTTTATATATATATAAACTTGTAGATACAGAGTAGAAAATAAATGTACATATGGGAGAATCTTCAAACCAAGACAAGACTATAACCAGGACAATTTGCATTAGCCAGCATTCTATATTTTTAATCATTTGGGCAGAGGGTAAACTAAAGTATCCCTTGGTATTTATTATTAGAAAACAGCCCTCTTAAGCAAATTATAATATCAGTTATAAGTTAATTCTTAACTTCTTAAAACTAGTTGATTCCAAAAACCTCTGAGTATATACTAACAATCAGGCAATTGTGCATTATCCAAGACATAAACTGACTCTTCATTAAGACATACATTAGATTGTTTTTGTCCTATATCCACAATACTTGTCAGCTGTCATGTTTTTAATGACAACAATTCAAGCCATTCACTAAGTTACATAGAAATCTCCAGAAGTTAATTCAAAATAGAGATGTCTAACATGCTTTTATTACTTTCAAGTTATATATACTATGCTTAAAATTCAAACTTATTTCAAATAACTTTGTTTTTGCTTCTGAAAATTAGAAAATTGTGCTGGGGCTTGATAAGAAATATCAGTATATCCTTTCACTAGTTTCTGATATGACAGATGAAATAGCCTTAAGGAAATTCCAGAAAATGACTCTAAAAATTGCTTGAGCAACAGTAGCATCCATGTAACAAGTACCTTCTGCCAGGGTGAGATTTTTGAACAATAAAGCTATTGGATATCTAAAATATAAAATAATTTTAACTATCTTATTTCTTTATAGCTCTGCTCCATTCAGTAAAATCTAAGACAGATGAAATGGAGTTAATTCCTTTTTTTTACCAACTCTATTAAGTATGTGGGCATGCAAATCTATGTGAAGTTGAAAAACACACCAACCTTCACAACGGGAAGGGTTCCTACCATTTTCTCATGAATGAATTTTTCATAGCTGGGTCATTGGATAATTTACTATTGGCCTAAAAGCCACTTAGCATATTGTGCATTTACATGTACTAAAGCTGAAATAATACATTCCGGCGTTTAAAAACACTTCCTTCTTGTCCCTTGTCTTATGACTGCAGAAATAATACTGGAGGGTCTTGTAATTGAATTTTGAATTTTAATCCTTGTAGCACAGCTTCATAAATAATCTGGAGTTTATAAGTACAGTAGAAGAAGGAATTCCCCAAACTCCAGGCTGGGGCAATAGGCTTCTCCAGGATGAGCAATCTATTTATACACAGCTACCATCATGAAAAATGTCTGGTTCAACCACTGTCTGGAAAGGGGAAAATATGTTTTTGATCTTTAAGCCAAACTTTGGACATACTAAGATGCCTATTTTTTGGATTTGAAAAAATTATTTGAAAATCAATGTGATCCATCGCATCAAAAAGAAAAATGACAAGATCATATCAATAGATGCACAAAAAAGTATCTGACAAAATCCAACACCAGTTCATGATTTAAATGTCTCAGTAAACAGGAATTAGAGAGGAACTTGTCAACTAGATAAAGACCTTCTACAAAAAGCCTCTAACTAATATCACACTTATTTGAGATACTTTGAAGGTTTTCCACTAAGAACACCTATTTCCCTTTCCAAATAAAAAAAATCATTCTCCTCTTATTTTTTTCTCTCACCTCCTCTATTTTTTTTAAAGAAAGAAGAACTTTTGAAGAAGAAGATAGTAAGGGTTAAGATGCAACCTATGAAGCTATTTGCAGCCACTGCAGCACGAGTTCGATCCCCTGGCTGGCCAGGGAGCAACCCACTTGGCGCAGCAGACCTCTCCTGACTCGCCCGCTGCTCCCCTCAGCAGCGTATTTCATTGGATCCACCTGTTCTGCTCCCCACTCTGTCTCTGGTAAATCCTCTCACCCCCCCACCTCTGGCCTGTACCCCAGTTCTTGTATGCATAAATAAATAAATCTTTTTTAAAAAAGAAGATACTAAGCGGACATTTCAAAGAAAATCAGGTGCTGAATTTCCTCGTGACAGGGTTTATTAAAACATTAAATTCATTTGGCTTAGATATGTACTATATTTTTTTCATTTCCATTCCTACAGGTTATGTAATTACTTCAGTATTTAAATCTGGCTCCTGGAGCAAGCATATATATTACATGTGAATCACTGAACACCAAACTGATATTATTATTTCTTAAATACATTTGGGGATGGGATTAGTGAATTCAAATTAATCCTCTACAACTCTATGTAGAAATAACTTTTCTATAACCTTCATGGGCCCATAAAATCCATGACTAATGCATAAATAAAAATCAGAAGACTCTGAATCAAGACCTGCCACCTATCAGAATTCATAGAAGCAAGTAATTTCTCACCCTACAGCTATCTACAAACATTACTATTTTAAAATAAAGCATTTTGATTAAAAAGTGACCCCTATACTTTCACAACACTACATTACTTCTCCCAGATAAATCCAGAATGTAGCTCTCCCATTCACTCATCAGCCTTTGACAGTAATTATTACGGGGTAGCTCTATTTTATGAAATAGACCAAAAAAAAGTCTGCAAATTGAAAAAGTCCATAGATTAGAATAAAATTTTGGTCACTCTAATTTTAACCAAAATTAGACTGTGAGTATACAATTTATAGGTGTGCCCTACATTATTAATCAACTTAGCACTGCCATCTACTCTGACCCATAATTTGTAAGTTTAGACAACATAAAAGTATTTCTTAAAGTTACAAGTTCTTACATTATATTAAGTGAAATAAACCAGTCATAAAAAGACAAACAGGGTATGATTCTACTTACACAAGAGTAGTCGAACTCACAGAGATAGAAAGCAGAATGATGGTTGCCAGGGGCTAGGACAAGGGGAAAAAGAAAGTTGTTTAATAGGTCTAGAGTTTCAGATTTGAATGATGATAAGGTGCTGAAAATATCTTTCACAATAATGTAAGTACACTTAACATTTCTGAACTATTTCACTTAAAAATGGTTGAGTGAATACTATGGTCTCCCTTATGACTAAATAAATCTTTCACCTTTTACTTAAACAAGGTTAAAATGTTTTTTTTTTTTAAGTTGCAAATTCATTACATCAAGGATATAATCTTACTACACTAATTCTTTAGGGAGGCAATTAGGTTACTTAATGATATTCCAATAAACAAAATTATCAGAGTAATATCACAAGAAATACTGTTTAATGACAATAAAGTACAATTTTAAAGAAGTGCCTATGCGTTCTATTATTTTCAAAGACAATTGGTACATAATGTTGCTTTCCCCAAGGCATTAGGTAGTTCAAGCAATTACTTTTTTCATTTTAAAATACATATAAAAAGCACGGTGGTAAGTAGGCAGGGTAAATCATGCCGAGCCAATGTTTACAAAGGCTGCAAATAAGCCTCTCAGAATAAAGCGATAATGCCTGAATTGCACACTTTGTTTTTGTACTAAGCGATAGCCAGAAGGTCTGTAAGAACTAATCCCTAAATCATAAGTAAATAATTCAATTGATATGAAAGCTGTTTGAAAGTATATAAAGAACTAGTGTGATTAAAAGGCCTGGTAGAAAATGATAATCCCATTATAGGAACAATTTACTACTATTATTCATTTTTGACAAATTAATGCATTTCTGGGATACTGTAATAGCATTCATATCGGTCTTAGTTCCCTATTTTCTAATCCCCTGTCTTCCTATCAGGTACTGCTCTGACCAGTATAGGAAAAAAATTAAAGAAATTTAAAATATTGGAAGGAAACATTCTATGAAAACAACAGTATTTCTGATGTGAGCTGGCTTCTGCTGTACAAGAATGGGAATACAGTGAAGTAATGGTAACCACCCCACTAAGAAGTTTTTGCATATTCTCCAAAAAAATTAAAGAGATCAACAAGAATAAAATATAAAACCAGAATGTCTCATGCTTCCATCACAACTGGAAGACAAAAAAAATTAATTTCAAATTACCTATAAGTAGTAAAGCAAAACCAATTTGCAGTAAAGCTATCTTCCAAGCTCCCTCCTTAAGCATTTGCAGAAAACTAGGGAGAGTAACCCACAGAAACTATTGGAGAGAAAGACAACCACCTGCGAGTGAGCAAAAATCATTCCAAGAAAGACAAAATGCACGCTAACTGCAAAAAAGCAGGAGGAGAGTCCATGTAGATCAGAGCAGTGACTACTCTAAAACGGAAGAGCTGTCAGGAAGGCTCACTAAAACAAGCTAGAAGGTCTCTCTAATTCGCTGGCAGCTCTCTTCCCAATGCTGTCCTCCTGTGACTATGCAGGTATCTCTTTTCTTTCTCCTTTTCATAGTAAACATATCCATTTAAAATGTAAAAAAGGTAAAAAAAGTCTCTATAATTTTCTACTGGTGCTTGAATAGATAGACCAACGCATAGAACACAAAGTCCAGAAATGACGCTGAGTCCGTATGGAAATATATAATGAAGGTGGCATCTCCTGTTGCTGAGTCAAAGATAAAATGTGCAATAAATGGTGTTGAAACAACTGTGTAGCCATTGGAAAAAGATTTAGATCGACACCTCATACCTCACACAAAAATAAGCTCCAAATGAATCAGATATCTGAAAGTAAAAAATGAAACCACACAGGAGTTTGACAAAAATAGGCATGATTGCTCTATAAGCTCAGAGTAGGGTAAGTTTTTAAACTATTAGTTAAAATCATATTTATAAAATTAATAAATATGATTGAAAGTTTTCATGGCAAATAACATCATAAGCAAAATAAGAAAAAGTGACAAGCTGGAAGAAAAGATTTATAATGCAAAACATAGAAAGGAACTGGTTATCACTAATATATGAAGAACTCTTAAAATGTGAGGGAGAATGTTCAGGGGTAACATCAGCAAGACTGCAGAAAAGGAAGCCCTGGGCCTCCTCCCCTGTATCAATGGACACACTGATTCAACAACAATGAATGGACAATTTCCCTTTGTGAGAAATCCAGAAACGAGTTGGGAGTTTCTCACTCTCTGGGAAAGCACAAAACCAGCCACAATGTGGCTGGCACAAAACCAGCTATACCCCTACACCTGGTACAGCGCCATACCCTCAGAAGGAGACTCCCAGTTTCTGGTTTCTCACCCTGGAAAGAGAAAGCACTGAAGCACACATCCATAATCCCCAGAGACTGGTTTCTATCTTACCTGTCTTTGAGCGCTGGCAGGTCCTGGCATACTTTAGATGCCGAGTGTCCTGTGAGGCCAAAGACTGCAACTTGCACATAACTAGTAAGCATGGCCCCTTACTCAGCACAGAGAAAGCACGACTTAAAAAAAAAAAAACCCACACATCCCTGCTTTTTCTAGGGAAGGAGAGCGCTAGAATGCACACCCCAAGTTCCAACTGGCCTTTGGCAGTCTAACATACTGGCTTCTGTCTTCCCCATCTTGGTGCTATGAGGAGACCCAACATAGTCTAAACAATTGGAAACGATTAAGAACAAAAATGGCAGGTTTGACTAGCATGAATGTTTGAGGGGACCCCCAAATCTCTGGCTGGGGTGACTGGTGAAAGTCCCCTCCTGTATGAGGCAGGTCCCCGATGAATGGGAGACATGGCTGTTTTCACTAGTGTGCAAATACCACGCAAAAGAGTCAAGGAAAATGAAGAAACAGGAAATGATTTCCCAAACCAATCTCCAGAAACTGACTCTAATGAAATGGAGATAGAGGATTAATCTCACAGAAAATTCAAAATAACCATCATAAAGATGCTCTATAAGGTCTACACAACATACATTTATGAACAAATTAAGAATTTCAACAAAGAGAAAGCATTTTAAAACGCAGGCGACAGTCATTATGAAAAAACGTATGGAGGTTTCTCAAAAAATAAAAAATAGAATTACCACATGATCCAGCTATTCCACTTCTGTGTATATATCCAAAGGGAATGAAATCAATACATCAAAGAAATATTTGCACCTTTATGTTCACTATAGGATTATTCACAGTAGCCATTATGTATATAATTGAATATTATTCAGTTGTTAAAAAAGAAGGAAATCCTGCATTTGGAGCAACATGGGTGAATCTGGAGGACACCATGCTAATTTTAAAAAGTCAAACACAGAAAGACAAATATTGCATCATCTCACATATGAAATCTAAAAAAGCGAACTCATAAAAGCAGAGGCAGAATAGTGGCTACAAGGAGCTTGGGGAAGTGGGTAGTTGCTGTTAAACCAGTATAAAGTTTCAGTTATACGCGATGAGTAAATTCTCTAGACCTGCTGCATGACAACATGCCTACAGTTAATACTATGATGTATGCTTTAAAATTGAGAACAATGTGGAGTAGAACACCAATTCTTTTTTTTTTTATAATAAATTTTATTGTTATATTCCCCATACAATTGCAGCGCCCCCATTCTGACCCCAATCCCTCCCCTCCCGCCCCTGCCCCCCTAAAAGTGTCTCTGGTTCATAGTTTTTTTGTTGATTTTGATTTTCACTTTCTTATAGTTATTCATTTTCCTGGTCCCTTATTTAAGTTTTCTAGATTCCTGCTATGAGTGAGACCATCCGGTATTTTTCTTTTTCTTTTTGGCTTATTTCGCTGAGCATGATCCCTTCCAGCGCCATCCATGTTGCTGCAAATTGCATGTGTTTATCTTTTTTGAATGCTGAGTAATATTCCATGGTATATATGTACCACATCTTCTTGATCCAGTCATCTATTTTTGGGCATTTGGGTTGTTTCCAAAGCTTAGCTATTGTAAACAGTGCTGCTATAAACATAGGGGTGCAGGTGTTCTTTGGAATTGATGTTTCTGTGTCCTTTGGGTAAATACCTAGGAGTGGAATTGCTGGATCATATGGAAGCTCTATGTTTAGTAGGTCCAGAAATCTCCACACAGCTTTCCACAGTGGTTGGACCAGTTTGCACTCCCACCAACAGTGCAGAAGAGTTCCTTTTTCTCCACACCCTCGCCAACATTTGTTGTTGCTAGTTTTTTTAATATGTGCCATTCTCACTGGTGTAAGATGGTATCTCATGGTAGTTTTGATTTGCATTTCCCTGATGACAAGTGATGTTGAACATTTTTTCATATGCCTGTTGGCCATTTGCATTTCCTCTTCAGAGAAGTTTCTTTTTAGCTCTTCTGCCCATTTTTTGACTGGATTATTTTCTTTGTTGTTGTTGAGTCTCATCAGCTCTTTGCAGATTTTTGTGATCAGTCCTTTATCATTAGTGTTGGGTGCAAAAATGTTCTCCCAGTTGGTGGGGTTTCTCTTTGTTTTTTAGAACACCAATTCTTGATAAACAAATGGTGTAAATGAAAAGTAGACCTATGTTATTTAAAGTACAAAAAAAAAAAAAAAACTTTAGGGAAAGAGTTTGGTCCATAGACCAAAAACTCCATGGTAAAAAAATAAAATAAATAAGCAAAAGAACTATTTACAATAGCCAAGTTATAAAAACAACCTAAGTGCCCAAAATCAGATGCGTGGATCAGGAAGAAAAGGTATATATACACCATGGAAGAGTACTCAGCACTAAAAGAAAAAATTAAATCTTGCCATCTTCAACAGCATGGAAGGAACTGCAGGGGATTATGCTAAGCGAAATAAGTCAGAAAGAGAAAGACAAATACTGGACGGTGTCACTTACATGTGGAATATAGAAAAATAAAACAGAGGATCCAATAAAACCAAACAAACAACAAGCCCAAGAATCCGAACTGTAGAATTGAGGCTACCAGAGGGGAGGGGTAAAGCAAGGTGGGGTGGGAGCCCAATGGACTGTGGTAGAGGATTATGGGTTTCTGGGGGGTGGGTGTGGTGTGGTAACAACAAGGGGGAGACCCTGTACCTC